TGTACCCTGTGGCTGGGCATGCTGGGCCATCTTGCATTCCTGCCCTTGACCAAACAGATGGTGGTATAACATGTGTAAATCGTTGTGGGTTGAACGATGAAGTTATTCCGATTCAAATTCCTGGGTGCTGAACAGCGCATAAGTTCTTCCCAAGACATTCAAAAGGAGATTGTTTAGCACCCAAGTAAACGGAGGGAACCAACAACAAGGGGTACCCCAAACGATGCATGTCCTGGATTTGGATCAGGATTCTGCAGGGGATCAAGCCGCAGTTGGGATCTTTTTTGAAAGATTTGTTGTTGACAGGTTTGCAAAAGACACCCTTTATGCTTATTTTGGTGCTTACATTTTAGCTTAAACAGGTGGCTGACCCAAGCTTGTTCGCCACCAACTCACTTTTTGAGTTCCTGGACCTTACACTTTTTGGGAAGACCGACTTAGTGGAAAAGAACAAGTTCAGACTTGTTTGTTGCCAGTCCACTCAGGAGGTGAGCCAAGACCTTCAATTTGGGTAAGTTTTTCCTCAGGCTCAATGCTGCCCACACCCCTTAGGAGCCACGAGTTGGTTGAGTTGATACATTGAGTTTGGTCCAGGCACCATGGCTGCGGGTGTTTTCCTGCAAGACCAGACCACAGGTGGCAAATAACATCCAGGGGTGTCCAAAATGGGGTTGCCCTCAGTGGTGTTTGCAAACCTGAAGACCTTCTTCATGGTTGGAGTCCAAGCGAAAAGAGTTCACCTCGGCGCTCAGACGTTGAAAGCGTCCTACGCCGCCCCTCTGGGGGGCCGGTGTACTCCGATAAAGGGATCCTTCGCCATTCCCCTTTCGTAGATGTAAGGAGGGAGGGCCCCATGTTTTCCCCATCGAAAGCTCAGGTGCAGTCTTCGACGGCGCTTCACAAGCAGTTGGACCTTGTGCCGGGCACTGAGCCACCAAGTGAGGCATCGCAGAGGGAATTGTGTCTCTGGCATATTTAGATATTAGTGACCAATCAGGCGCAAAACATGGAAGACCCCTTAAAAGCCAATGATTCCCAGTGCGTCCAGTCAGCTTCACTCATCCAGGGGATTCACGCAAATGCAGGGTTTGAGCAGGTTTGAGAACGCGTCGACGATGCTGGTGACATCAAACATCCTCGGCACCACCATCGCGCCCAGATCCGAGATGGGGCCAATGCAGGTTCCAGCATTGTCATTTTGCCAGTCGTGGACAAGTGTTTTCCTGTCTTGATGTATCTTCTTTGTTGCGACGGCAAGGACATATTGCACGAGTAGTCAGAGGATGGCCCAGCCGTCCACTTGAACCCACCCCAGCCGTGGCTTGGGTGTGGCGACGCCGAGACGCCGAGACGCCCAGGGCGGGGCTCATTTGCTTCTACGTCGCGCTGGCCTTCATGATGGTGTCTGGGGCCCCGGAATCGATTTCCGGGTGCTCAAGCTTGATCCCCGTGGTGTGGGTCATGCCGGAGCCAGAAACAAACGCAACAAATGGCCGTGGTGGTCAAAACCGTTTCGGGATCCCAGTTTGGGATAGGTGCACCACCCATTGTAGCCTACTTGAGTGGGGAGGGTAGGGTTTTGACCCATGTGTAAAACTATAACAGCTTCGCCGATTTCGGGGATGAAACAAGGAGCCGTGGGGATTCCTGGAAAATTACATGATTCTGCACCGTGGATGTCTCACGTGGCTTGGCGCTTCCAACGCGTCCTTTTTGTGACAGGGGGATTTCTTGGAGGTCAAGACAACCAGGCTGTTGGTCTCTTGCAGGGGGATGCACGCGCCTGACAGGGGGAAAACAAGCTCGGTGCAACTGGGGCAAAGGCCAGGCCCATGCCCGGGACGCTGCCCCTTTTTTGGTCCCATAGAACGTGCCCTTTGACTCTAGATGGGCCAAAGTCCCAACCTGCCACAGTCACAGTGCTATGCTTTCCTTCCAGTTTGCAGAAACGGTTGTTGGGACCCCCTTCATTCGAACCAGTGGTGGCACGACTGCCCTTCAATGTAACGAATCCGGGGCTGGAATTACTGCAACCGGGCGCAGGTTGGTTGCTGCTTGTTTGTCCCCGGAGCAACTCCCGTCAATGTTCAGGCGTCAAGTCATAGCTTCAAGCATTTGGTGCGCCAATGGCTTTTATCACAACAAATCAATGACCCTCCCCCCCCCCCCCAGCCCCGTGTGGTTGCTTTCCGCTGGCCTACCTGGAATTCACCCACAACACCCGTCCACCTGCCACATGTGCCATCCGTTGGTCGCCCAGGTTCTACCAGACCACCTACTCCCTGATGTACTGCATGCTTTTGCTGGGCCCTGCCTCCGCAGGCCGATGCGCTCAAATATGATTGGTTGGCGGAGGGGGGGGGGGGCACCCCTGACATTCCATGCAGGATTCCATGGAATTCATCCCCCCTGCCTCCAAGGCGGGCCACATGACAGCGATGCCTTTGCAGCAGCTTGCCTTTTTGCACGATCGGCTGCTCTGTTGCTTCTTGCGTGCGCCAACCAGACGGCAACTTGGTTTAATCATTTACCAGGGCCATCTATTGTTTCAACAGGTCACCTTTTCCCCAAGGCCGGCTTGGACGCTTTATTGCAGAATCTTCGGATTCCGCGGGTGACCTTGCTAACCCAGCTGCCTTGGGTGCTTGATTTCAGTTTCGCGGCTTGCTGCGGACAGGGTGTTCCTTTGGCGTAGATGTTTTCTGAAATGCAACGCGGCCTATCCTTGCGGACTTGTTTGGCTCATGCCAGATGCCCAGAACACAGAGATGCAGACGCGGTTTCAGCCCGAAGCCTCAATGCGCTCTCGACGGTGTAGGCCAGCTGTGGTTGAACCTTTTTCGGGGATCGCTATTGATGACACGCCTATTGGATCCGGTTTGCATTGGCTGGAGCAATGGCTTGCAGAAAGGGCCTGGACTCCTTCTATGTGGAGGCCTTGCCAGTTTGATCCAATATTGCCAGACTTGGCCAGCGTGCTTGCCGACCTTGTTGCTGTTTGTTTAGCCATTGTTTGCAAATATTGGCCAGCAAGAAGATGCCTGCTTTCTATTTGCAGGGGGCCCGTGGGTCTGGTCAAGCAGGGGACAATGTCGAAGATTGACGCTGCAGCGTCACTGATCGATGGTATGCACTTTGGCCAGTAAATTCAGCAAGTCGGGCACCCTCTCAACGCCAGTTGCTTCTCCCTTGCCGCCCCTATGCCCGCACCAGATTGGGTGTCCTGTTGCTGAATGCCCGGGGTTCTTGGTTTCGTGACCGTGGATAATTCTGTGGCTCATTTTCATTATGGTCAACCCAGGCATGAGGTTGCCCAATGACATCATGACCAAGCCGATAGGCATTTGCCAGGCTCAGCCATGATTCTCCAAGCCTTGGACTTAACCCCAGGCCGGAAGACAAGCTCTGAGCATTCGGCCGCGCCGTTCTCGTCGTCTCACCGTCTCACGCTGAGCGCAGGTGCAAGAACCTGGCGCCTAGCGCTAGGTTCCAAGTGTGGGGTTTACCTTTGGACCCCCAAAGAGGCTATAAGAGGCTTTCAACACTTTTTTGAGGGGCTCACTTTGTTTGCCCAAAGCAGGGGCCAAAAGGTAAACCTCGTCCAAGTGTTCCTTCGGTGTGATGCCGGGCTCCGAGCCTTTCAAGAATTGCTGAAACTTAAGAGGAAGGACCTCGATTCTGAATGCGGGGACAGTTGTTGTTTTCGAACACTCAAGGCAACGAAACCCTGGGCCGTGCGCGTTGGCCCGAAACAGAACGAGGGCCCTAAACCGTGGTAACCCGAATCGAAACCTAAACCCTAAACCGTGGTGGCGTGCCTAAACCAGAAAAAGTTCTAAACTCTGAACACGAAATCGTGTTGACCAAAACCTGATACCCCGCCGACGTGCCTGCCGTGCCTGTGTGGTTGGTGCCCGTGTGCCCGGGTGCCATGTAATTTGTGCGTGCCCATGTGCCCCCGAGCTTGGTGTGCGCCCGTGTGCCCGTGTTGTGCACCTGTGCCTGTGTGCTCGTGAGTCTGCCTGTGTGCTCGTGTGCCTGACCGCGCGCTTGCCCGTTTGGCGCCCGCATGCCACCTGACCCTCATTACACACCCTTCGAAAGGGTATGTGTTTGAAACTGAGCCCCAGGCTGTTTTCCAAAATGAGTCCTGATCATCATATCTGGGTCCCTTGCACCGAACATTCGACGCGCTCCCAAGATGCCCTTTAGCGTTTCAAGGGCAGTGAGGATGTCATTCCTTTGGACCTACACAAGGCCAATGAGTCCGGACAGCCGGAACCTGAGAAAACAGCTCAAAGGATCCCAAGGGCCACAAGTGCCGGTCGGCGCCGCAAGTGCAGAAAAGCGTGCGGCCCCTCCCTATCAAACTTGGCCTGGTGCACAGGCTTTGGGAAGACTCTTGGGAAAGGCTCCTGTGTTCCATGGCGGGTAGGAGGGTATTTGTTGAGGGAAGTGGGGGTGGCAAAACTTGTTTTCAATCAGGCTTGATTCAGTTCCCATGTCTGTGATGCAAACTCTTTAAGCTTCAGCTCCCCAATTCGGTCAATCTTTTTGCTCTCCTATGACACCGGCAATTGGAATGCCGGTTGAACCTTTTCCGCCCGCTAACTGCATCTGCTTTGGTAGCCGTGGTGCGCAGAACAGCATCTTTTTTGCACTAACCTGGAGGTGCTGCAATAATTTGGTTGGATTCCCGTCCCAATGTGCATGGAGGCTGAATACACCCCCTGGCTGGTTGATGACTGGAACATCCCACGTCAAAGGGGAACCTGTTTTTTTGGGGGAACAACGCCCCCCCAACAGTCGACCAGGTTCATTCACCCGGCGTCGACATTATGAAGATATCTCCTGACCCCAACGCGGAGTGTTGACCATGGGCAGAGGGGAGCGGCTGTCGCCGACTTGCGACTCGTGCGGCCGCAGCTGCGTTGGATTATGGCGAAGGACAAAGCTTGATTCTGTGTTTTCAGCAGCTTCCAGAGTGAAGGGCAACAGCCCATGCCAGTGTTTGCCCTGTTGTTCGCAGGTGATTCGGGTTTCTCAGTGACACATGGACAAGCAGAAAGGTCCCATTTTGTGTCCCCTCGTTGCTGAGCAAGCAACATCCAGGAAAGAATTATTGGATTCCCACATGGCCTGGTTGGCTTTTTATCAGGCCCCAACGTCCCGCTTCATGAGCTACCCATCCCAACCTCTCTGCCACAACTTTCCGACTGGCAGGATGAAACTTTCTAGGAATCAAGCCCGAGGTTGCGACAGCGTAGGACGCAGTGAACTAAGATCTGCAACACCCCTCCCGGTGGTTCCAGGCAACACGGAGCAAGGCCGACGCACAGAAACAAGCCCTAGGCGCTTACCGTCTTGCCCCTCAAACCCCTTTCAGTGTTCAACAAGTTTGAGCGGCTTGAAACTTGCAGGCTGCAGTTCTGGCCATTTTAACCGAGAGCCATGGCAACGCAGGACAGCTTTGGGCAGGGCTGGATGCGATCCATATGAGCTTGAGTTGCCCGGGCGGATTCGCTTGTTTAATCTGGGGCACCGATTAATTTCAAGAACTCTCTCCAAATGTAACCTTTGGAACTTTTTCAGGGGCTGGGACGAGCTGCCATGTCGTACAGCAAGAGCTGGCGGGGCAGTTGGTTTTGGCCCAGCTGCTGTTAGATTCGAGCTGTATATACTCAGATTGCTTCTCCGTGGCACCGGCAACAAGGTGAACATGCACAGACGCCGCGGGGGCCAAGAGCTGAGATGCCTGGACCAAGGCTCAAAGGCTCAAAGGCTCACAGCATCGCTGGGCAAACTCTGTTTAAGCAGCCAGATCCCAGCCCTTTAAAGAGGAACGAAAAGAGGTTGTGAAAAGTTAAGTGTAGCCAGGGGGTCGGCCAGACCCTATGGAACCAGCTTTACTTTGTCATTGGGCCCCCCCCTTCTGTGACTCGGCACAGGGGCATTGGTCCCGCGAATGTAGGCCAATATGTTATCCACTTGCGTGACACTAAGACTCGACTTGTGCCTGATTCGGGATATCTACACTCAAGCCTTCCGGCTTCCTTCATCCAAAAAGAAAACGAAGAGAAGGCCCAAGTGATACTGTGGTTCCCCCCCCCCCCTTGTGGCACGCGGGCGGTTGACTCCTTGCTGTTTTCAGTGAGCCAGGAACCCGATGACCAGCTCACGCGGGACATGACTGCCTTGCAGGATGGGCGGAAACAAGCTTCAAAACCGCGTTTGCTTCAACCGAGGGAATCAGCCGTGCCCACTTCCGCATTGAACAGGCCCTGAAAGAGAGATCCAACAATCCAGCTGGCCCTTAGCACCTGTCTCAAAGGCGTTTCTTCTTTTCGACAAACCTTTGCAGGTCCCGATGTCGGCATTTCGGAAGCGGCGACGGGCATGGGAAAGGAACATTGGGGAACGCATGTTTGAATTTGAATATATCTAGGTATATATATATATATACATATATACGTATGTGTTTTTCATAAGAATGATAATAGCAGTAATAATAATAACATACATATACATTATATATACTATTTTTGAGGCATTCTGCCTCAGGCCAGCTCGTGCGAATTGGGTACAAGCAAGTTGTGTCCATTCTATGTTTCAGATAGTATGTCCACTACCCTTACGCCAGCCCCAAAGGTAAATTGTGCTTATACGGGTTATTTTCCTTGTAAGGCAGCACAGGACAGTTCACGCCCGTCTTCCGTTGGTAGCAGTTTTGTGGGTACGGAAACGAAGCACCCTGCGGGGACATCGGCTGTTTGAGCGTCTCACAGGAGGGCATCCGGCTCCTTTTCACCAATGACTACCAGGGGGCGGAGGACACCTTTCGCCAGGGCTCGCAGCGTGCCTTGCCTAGGTTCTCCAAGGTCCGTACCCTCCTAACATGGAAGTGCACCAGACAGCTCATTTCTGTGGATTCATGTTGCCTGGCCCACAACCCGTAAACCGTTCCTCGTCCAAGAGCGCTTCCTTAAGGCCCGTGTGAACCCGGGGGGGCCGGCCCACAGAACGGAGGTAACTAGGATGATGTTTTTTTCAGGGGCGATGTAGGGAACGTTGAGTTGGGTGAAAGTAGATGCCACAGCCTTCCTGTTTAGTCTTGATCATTTTTTTTGCGGGCATAAAGGGAACAGCCCCATCTACTTCCCCCTATTAATCAGCCAGGGGTTTGCTACTCCAAGTGGAACCCAAGGTCACAGATCCGAGCCTCACAGCCGAGGCCCGCGGCCGCCGCCTTTGCCGGATGGCACCATCAGGGACACGCGGGGCGCCTTCGCCTTGATCTACACCATGGTGAGTTTCATGTGCCTTGGGCGGAAGGGGGGGGGAGGGGTCTTGGGAGGGGGAGAGGGGGGCGAGGCAGGTCCTTGCGTGACGACTCGTCGAAGGTGGCAGCGCGATTACTTGAGGCTTTCAGCTTTGGATTGGTCGCAAAGGCTCGTGAACAGAGGGACTAGCTGCTGACGCGCAAGCCGTGCGGAGCGTGGGAAGCAGTTTTGGCCCAGGACCCTGGTTTTGTGGCAAGAAAGGATGCTTTCCTCTCCGGTACACTCCGTTCTTTCTGGCAGATACTGACAAAGCCAGCCAGTTTGAGCTTTATTGCAGTAGCGCAGGGGCCAGGTAGATCCTGCAGGTCCCAGCTGGCGCAGACCTCGACTCGTCTGGTTTGTTTTCGCGGGCGAGAGGTAGGCTTGCCTTGACTGGCAGAGCCCCGGTTCCTTGTCTTGCGATGGTTGGCTTCTTGCTTGCCTGTCCGCTTGCAATTTTGCTTACCTGGTTCGTTTCGTTTGCAGGTTGCTTCCGGTCCGGGAGCGGAGGCTACGGGCCGCCGCAACCTCTGACTCTGACCCCCCTTGCCAATCAATGTGCACAACCAGGAAGTGAGGCAAGCAACAGAAGATGGGTAGAAGATGGAGTTTGCCGGTTTACCTGTGAATGTTTCCATGCCTGGGCTCCAGTTAGCTCCTGGCAATGTGTCAAACCAATCGGGCTTTCCGTTTGGTGGCTTTGAGCTTTTTGTGCAAGGAAGGGAGCACTTGCCAATTGCTGCTCCCTTAAAGCCTTATCATAGCGGTTCAAAAGTGAATGCACCTCATGAGTAGATCAGTGTGAAGAGTTGACCCACCGGTTCGCCACCCGGCCAACGCCCCTTTTCTGGTGAAATCGTGAACAACATTAAGCAGCCCAACCAAGGATGCTTGTTGTCGCTCGGAGGTTGCGGAGAGTTTACGAGTCGGCACGGTTTTGCGGTGTCTCCTGTGGAATCCCCATCCCTTTGGTAGCGTATGGATGGCTACGGGAAGGCCCTTTCCATGTTCCCTGCGCGGTTGCAAGTGAAAATCGTGGAGGGGGCTTCAGGGATGGGTCCGAAGAGGGTGGTTTGGTGCGCCCGCGTAGAGACCTTAACTCCCGAGGTTCGGTTTGCTGTCCTTTGCCAATGACCAGCTGGACGAATGTCTGGCGCGGGTTTGGACCGCCGAGAGCCTTCTGCTAGAAGATGGTCCCTGGGTTGGCCAGAAAATGCTGCTGGGCATGGTCTATTTGATCGCAGGACCGATGAGCACCCGTGATGCTTCATGTCATTTCTTGGCCAACTGGGACATGCCAGCAGCACGCTTCGTGATATCTGATGTTTACACATTTATGCATGTGCAAGTGCAAACTATGTTGAATGCATGTCTATTTGTGCTTCGTTATGTTCTCATCTCACTGTCAGCGCGAGAAATGTTTAGAGCGGATTTGCTCCACTTGGTGCTCGGGTCGGTTTGGTAGCAAAGCCGTGAAGGTGCTTGGAACCTTGGTTGTGCATGATGGTTATGTAGGTGCAACGGTGGCACCAACGATCTCAATGAACTCGTGCTTGTGAAAGAAGGTCGAAGAACCCAAGGAGGGTTTCCCAGGAAGCACGTAGGACATGATCAATGGACAAAACTCGACGATCCTTCCAACCAATAAACGTGAAAGTGCAGAGGCTGGGTTTTCGAATGGAAATTTGTCTTTCAAAGGGTTGTTGGTATTGGCAAACCACGAAGGGTTGACACGACGCGTTTTGTCACTGTCTCAAAAATTCCCCCTTGTTTGACCCTGGTGCCGCCCAAGGTGCCTGCCGCATGCCAATTCAAATTCCCAAGCCTTTCGGCTGCCAGGAGTAGTGCAGGCTGCGAAGAATGCTTGGCTGAAGAGTGGGGTGAACCTGGTGCGCGCCCTCCGCTACATCAAGGACTTTGAAGAAGGCGACCTGTTGGTTCATCCACAAACCCCCTCCCCTCGATTCGGCACTCAGAATTCCTGCCATGGAACCCGGTAAGAAGCAACACACACACACACACACACACACGCGCGCGCGCGCGCGCGCGCGCACATTTTTGGCTTTTTTGGCACAAAAAGGGACACACTATTTGTGTTTTGGTTCCACATCATAGGGGTAACCATGGTTCTTGTGGATTAATAGGGGGAGGGGCCTTTTTTAGAGATGATCCTTGATTTTGGGAGGACTCATTCATTCGCCAGGTCGGGTTCCTTTCATCCCAGTGGGTGTCCATTTCGGTTGACCCACCAATGTCAACAGGTGAGTCACTCAAGATGGTGATTTGTTTCCCGAGGATTTCTCGGATCGTAGAGAGTCGCTTTCAGCCATGGACAGGCGGGAAGTATTCCTCCAATGCTAAAGATGCTGCTTCCCTTTCTGACTAATTAGGAAATTCCTGCCAGCTTACACAAAAGGTGAGCGGAGCAGGCACAAATAATGTCCACGGCAGTTTGTCGATCTATAGCTACCAGTTGGACTGCTGAGGGGCACCGGATCGTCTAGCCACCAGCCATGATGCCGTTCATATGCCTGGAACTCGCCATGCTAGCCTTCCCCAGGCCATGGAAGCTAAGACCCTTTTGGAAGATGGATCAGTGTCCGTGGGAGCTTCCATGAAATCGTTGGAGATTGGTTCTGCGCTTGTTCTTGGCTTTGCTTCAGGCGCCCCGCAAGGACCCAGCAAACCAAACGATGTTCACCTGGAGCCTCACGGATTCATTTCCAGGGTGTTTCCCCCTTTTGAAGGACCTTTTCTTCCAGGGCCGCCCCCGTAAAACCCGCACAAAACGCCCGTCCGGGGCGCCCACATTCGCCAGGTCTCCGCTTCGAGGGCCGGGAGGCGCCCTTCGTGCGGAGCTTTGCGCACTTTGTGATGGGCCTCTTCAACCTGGCGCCACGGCTTTTCCAGCCGCGAAGCATCCGTCGGCCCAAAGCGGCGGAAAGCGACGAAAAGGGATGCGTCGTTGGAACGTCCAAAAGCAGAAGCGAAGAAGAGATATGGGGCTTGGGGGGAAAGAGTGGTGCTTAAAGATGGTGAACAAGGAAGTGGGGAGGGGGATGCGTTGGGGTGGGGAGGGAAGGTAAGGTTTGGTCAAGAACCTTTGGTGTTCCTTTTTCGGGGACCAATTCGAAAAACCCTTTCAGAGTCTAAGCCCATTTTGCTTGATCCAGATGTTGGGAGAAACAAAATCAAACATACTTTGCCAGTTTCTTCTGCAAATTCTTGAGAGGAACCCTTCTGGGGCGTCCAATCCAAAAAACAATCCGCTGAAAGGGCTGCCTTTTGGTTTCTGCAGGCATATCCCATGCAAACCCTTGAAGAGATTTTGGGGGGAGCGTTCAGCCAGGGATATCCATTTTGTCCTAGACTACGCAAACGCTTGCTTGGAAACTCGGCGGATTCTACGCATGGGCCCCCCCTGGCTCCCACGGGTCGCCTAGCGGATCCCGAACCCTGAACCAACCCCACCCCACCCCTCAGCCAACTCTGGCTAAAGCCTTGAAACCAACCTCCCAACCCGCCCACTCCCATCCCCCCCTCCCCCAAAAGGAACAACTGCAATCAAGCAATCCCCCGTGAAGTGAGAAAAAACAACACCAATCCCCCCGACCCGAGGTGCTCTCCATGCTGCCGCCCCAGATGCTGCGCATCGCCTCCAGGGCCGGGGGCCGCACCCTGCAGGGCAGCCGCAGCGACGCGCTGCGACTGCTCAACGAATGCCCCGCGGAAGAGACGCCTTTGGTCCACTTTGGTGCTCCAGAGGGAAGGACCCATGGCGTTGGGAATGAACCATTTCGGGGATTCCCTTGATGGAAACCATGGAAGATTTTGAATTTCTAGGGGTTCCCTCTGACCCACTTAAAGGGGCGATCGGGTACGTCAGGCAAGTGGGTAGGAAGCCCGGTGACATAACCCACAAAAGTCATGGTTATAAGTCTTCGTTCAGTGGGTTACGAACCACATACTAAGTACCCTGCCCCTTTAAGGAATCAACCGTTTTGGGATTCTCTTAAAGGGAGCCAAGAGTTGTTTTTTCTTTGGTAGGGTTCATTCCATGTCTGATTCCCAGCTGAGAACCAGCAAGACAAACATGGAACCCACAAGAGGCTTAGGCTTCTTTTTTATGGAGACTTGTCTTCCAGCACCAGTCAGGTTCCATGTAGATGGGCGGCACTAGCATGCGTACTGGGTCTGGCGCCCTTTCTACAGAGAATGGGCTTGTGAGGTGGTTCACAGGGCAGCCAACAGGAGATTTGATCATCTTTGGGGTGCCCCTATGTTGGCACCCCGGTGTAGTCCCAACATTTTGCCTTTGGGGGGAGGACTGGAACATCAAAATTCGGAGGTAAGAGGGCTTCGGTGAGTCTTGGGATTGGCACATGGAATCCCAGCTTGGCCCACATGCAGGTTTCAGTCGGTCCCTTTCATCTCAGCTGGGTGCTTTCGTTGATCTTCTCGGAGAGCTGAGGCTATGTGCAGGATGGAATCATGGCTCCCTTCGCAGTCCTGGTCCTGTTGTGCTACAACATTTGGATGCACCTCGGCCTCGGCGGCTGCTTCAAAGACGGCGACCATTGAAACATCACTTGTGTCAATCTGATTGAACTTCCCTTGGTCGAGCAGGGGAACCTCTTCCGGGCTGGATATGGGAGACATGCGATGTCGGGACTGAGAGTCCATGCTTTGCGAGTTAAACCGTGCTCAGCATTCCACACAGGCCATTGGGGTGTGAATGTGCGACCCCCTGCAAGTAGCAAGGTCATTGGTTCAGAGATTCGATGGATGTCCTCGCAAAAGAATTCTGGTGTGCAGTGCGGTGCAGGGCGAGGGCTTGGCGCATGTCATGCCGTGCGCAGGAAGACGTACCTGGGCGAATCCATCAACGACGAAGACTTTGCAAAGTCCAAATCTCTTTTGCAGTGGGCAGGCGAGCGATTTCCCAAGAGCGCTGTCTTTGAGTTCTGGCAGACGGAGCTGCACGTGATTCGCACGGAGATCAGAGCCGCTTTGCAAAATAGATGGCCACATGACAAACGTGCTGAGCTCCTCCGCGTGCTAAATGTCCCAAGTGGAAAGAATTGTTGCTTTCGAAGGCTTGCCTCCTAGCAACTTCGTAGCCATGTCATGAACAGTGCTAGTTAGCCCAAAGACCTTAGTTTCTGCAAAACGGCACGCCCATTCCCGTCCATTCAGCACATGGAGAACCAAAGGACCCATGCCCAGGAAGCCTCCCAGTGCGTTGAGCGTGTGCACGCCGTACTGGCCCAGCTGAAGCTTCCTGCGATTGACTCCTTTCTGGAGCAGAAGAAGGCCATGCCCCTTGGCATGAATCGATCTGCATATACGACGACCTCACCGAGCTGAGTATGATGTAGGTCATGTGCTTGGGTTTCGGAGGAGTCATGACACGACGCCTTTTGATAAGATTCTAGTTCAACACGTCAGTATGTCTGTCAACAAGCACGGTAATGATGTCTGAAGCTCTGCTGCAGATCCGTTCTGGTCATTGAATCGGCCATGGCAGTGCTATGCCAGGGGCCATTATGTGTGGTGAGATTGCTGGCTGGCCACCGTGTCTTAGGAACCTTGACTGGTACCGGTGGCCCTGTTTCTGCCGTTGATCCTGATAGTCAAGTTGCTATTGCATTAAAGCAGGATGCATGGAACCAAATATATATTTATATATGTATATATATATATACTCTTTGCAGTTCCACGCAGGCAGGAACTGGCTACATCGGCTCAGAACCGACGTAGGCCGACCCAAGAAGCGTGGAATATCCATGTATTATGTCAGGTTTTGGATGTCTTGTAGAATTGCAGACTCTTTGGCACATCTCGAAGAGTTTACAACATGTAGATCGTAATCTTGAGGGTTTCCTTGGATGGACACCATCATATTCATGCACACAAGTTGGGTCAATCTTGGCTTTCTGGCCAATACGCTTTTTCCCCCACAAATGTATCTGCCCAATCGACCAAGCATAGTTGAGTTGCAAAACAACACGTTCATTGGAATATATGGTCACCAGGAATAGTTGTTATGATATTTGTGTGTATCAACTTACTTCCATAGCCAAACTAGATGTGCAAGGCATATTTAGTCAATATGCTATTGAACAAGGCCGTGGAAGACAAGCAAACCATCCTTTGCGAACGGTTGAAAGGTGACTTTTGCACAAGCCTGCATGGTGAATTCCATAGCATGCCATTTGTTTTCCAAAAGGCAGGCTTGCGCACTAGATGCAGAGTCTTTGGTTCAGAACTTTGGAAGGGTACCAGGAAACTTGAGCATGCCAAAGAAGAAAACAGATTCATAGGTCACTTACCGACAGGTTCAGCATGGCCGAAAGATTCACAGGACCTGGTCATAGACCCTCGGCTCACTGCTCAGGTTCAGCCTGGCCCTGCTGGACTGGCCCAGCGCTGCCCAGGGCTTCGAGCAGAGCCTGCAGGCAGTCGGCTAAAAAGAGAAGACAACTCGCCTTGAGCCAACCTGAGACATCAGCGGGACCCCATGGACAAGGTCCTTCCCGTACCTTCCGTTGAGTTGCTCGGTTTGCCGAGAAGACTGGGCCTGACCCCCCGTGAATGTGCCGGGTTTCCCCAAGCTCGGGTTGTTATGGTAGGATTCGAATGAGCTATGGGTTGCCAAGCACAGAAGATTGCCTCGTGATGCCGATGTTTGATACATACCCGATGCGAGGGAGCGGACCCCATGCAAAGAGGTGCGGGAAAGGAGTGGGAGCTGCTAAACGACCAGTACATTTGAGTGACGCCCGTCGAAAGTGACAAGGACCTCAATGTGTTGTTCTCGTTTTTCCTGACCCCTCCCCAATTCTCTTTGCCTACCAGACCCGGAAGCGTTTACCGGACCTGGTAATCCAGGCTGCGCTGGTTTCTTGTCTCTTGGATGTTCAGTTGACATGACTGGCGCCGACCACGCGGAACCCTCACTGCACGAAACTTTTTCAGGGCCCGACAGGTTCCATGGTGGTAAGCCACAGGTGTCCGTCCAGAAGCAGCGGCGTTCTTACGTGCCCACGCTGCGCCCTGCTTATGAAGGGGGGTCGTTTTGCTCTGGGGGGCAAGCCGTTTTAGAGCTAGCCCCCACGAACAAACACGTGGAAGTGCACAACCTTTTCAAGAGGAAAAATGTTTTTCTGAAAGGCAATGTTTCCTTCATGTTTGCTATTACGGGAGGGGCACCAAGGGCGTTTGTGGTTTGCGTCCTTTTCGCGTCCTCTTTGGTTCGGCCAACCTTTGGGGGGTCGCAGTGACCGTGCCAAGAGAAGCTGCAAGACCCTTCAGGGTCCAATGGAGAGGTGGGGCCCTTCAAAAAGACTCGAATCTGGCTTGAAGCAGGGTAGTTTTTGGATCAACCCAGTTTCCTGTGAGTTTTGACTGTTTTTGTTCATGGCCCAAACGAAGACCAACTCTTCGCTGGTTTGGATTGATGGCTTGGGGATTTGAACCTTTGGTGAGGGAAAGAGAGAGGCCCCCAAGCCAAACCAAAGCAACATGTTTTGGGAAGCTAAGGTTCTGCCCCGACCACTGGAAATTTGATTGGCTGTTAAACTAGGGGTCTTGGAGATTGTATGCAAATCAATGCGAAGCCAACTATTTTGGGCGGCGTACGGTATACATTCCTGAAGCGCAGGTCTTAGGCCAAGGCTACTAGATCTCCATAAGCTGAGATCTTGAGCGAGAACTCACATGTAAATGTCCTGATATTCTTGCTTTGGGTGAGTTCTGATGAATCCCGACGAACTCAGACGAACACCGGCGAACCTGGGGCACGATCCGCTCCAAGACGAGAAATGCGGATGTGTTTCCTATCTTTGGGCCGTTTTGAATGACCGGAAGGCGCTAGGTGACCGAAACAGGTGCTAGAACAGGTGAACTCAGAATAACGCCGCAGACAATTGCACATGGACAATTCCGGTGAATTATCCTCCGACGTTCATGGCGTTTTATCAAGGATGGTCACGCATTACCCATGTAGGTCCACTCAACGATGCGCATGTAAGGTGGGGGATGTGTTCTGGTCTTTTTGCGTGGCAGCAATAGATGGTGTAGGATCTTGCAAGCCGGGTGCGTTTGAGAATGTGAGAATCCTGCATAATATGACCCTGGAAGTTGTGACCGAACATCAGGCGGAAAAATGTGGACACCAGGCGCCTTTGCTGTGCTCAGGTGGCATTTTGTCAGTTTTGGCCCACCAGACAGTGAAACGACCCCTGCCGCAGGGTTTTGAAAGTGGGAATGAGGCGTCGTGCTGGACACCAAAGAGATCCCTAGAAACTCCCCGCTTCGCAAAAAAGAACAAACCATACGGAACAGGACCAATGGGTTCCAATACTTTTTCAACTTAGGGAAGTAGAACCGAAAAGATCATGATTTCTCTGCGGAGTTGTACCTCTTGCCATTGTGAAGGCCTAGGAGGAAGGAACCCGTGGCCCCATTTAAGGCTCTCCGAACCTAATGCATGACTTGTGCTGCTTGGAAAGAGCCGGAGTTTCCATTGGGCATTGATCAGGAAGACATATGCTTCTCCAGCGTTCTCGCAGCCACAGGAATCAAACATCTGTTTCACGACTTGAAGGGGTACCTTGAGCCATGAAGGCTCTTTTCTTGCATGCCCTTGTTTCTGCTCTATGACTCCCTCCCGGCCTCAGGCCTCGGGCAAACCCGACCAGTCTCAGCCCCACCTGGATAGTCATTGCAAAGCCGTGGGACCGCCAAGGGTTGACCGCCAATAAGGCGGCAAAAGATAAGGATTCGGCGAAAGGGAACCATCTGGTGTCTTCTCGAAGAATTTGATGCAGTGTAGGGTTCAGAAGGGGCATACCAAATATGCAACGACGGAACACATATGTTTGCTTGTTTGTACCATGGCCATTACCAATTGATAATCACCCAATAATTTTGTTTTTAGAAGCACCCTGTTGCTAAAAAGGAATCCAACATGACAGCCTCCATTTTTGTTTTTGCTACCCACTAGCGGGTTTTTGACTGCATGGCTGATCTAGGTCCTATCTGGCGGGCCTTTGCCGGGTGCTCTCCGAGCAGTCTGGGGCTGCCAACTTCGAGCGGGTGCAGCAGTACGCGAAGATGCGGAAGCGAGCCTTGGGCCAGCCTGAGGGTCCCTTAGGAATGGAGCTTGGTGAAGGGACTCTGGAATTCCATTTGGATGCATGTATTTTGCTGAGGTTCCCCAAAGGGAAGGGTATCCTTTTCACCGTTCTGAAGGAAGCTTCGAGAAAGATGCGCATGATGCGTTCCATGATGTTCCATGCGGGCAACATTTCGCGGTGACTTTCCGACTTGGAGTTGGAGCCTTGCAGCGAACAGGGCGAAGGTGGCGCAAGCAACCAGACCTGATGTGTCAACAATAGTGGGAAGCAGCAGCAGCCCGGGGCCCGGACTCCCGCGCTGTCGTCTGAACTCGGCTCAGGAAACTGGCCCCCCGAGGATGACTTAGCCTTTATGAAGGTCAAAGACCTTGGAGTGGCCACGACGCCACGACGTGCGCTGCTGGAACTGGTGGAGATTTCCATGTTGAAGATGCTGGGCAAGCAGGTTTGGCTGAGTTTGATATGTTTATTAGGCTAAGCAGGAGAGGCAGTGCAGCTTGACGCAGGCAGCAAACTGGAAAGGGGGAGAGGCTGGGACAAGCTGTCCCCACCCGCCAAAACCGAGGCAGCACTCGATTGAGGGCCAACCAAAACAGCCAACTTCTTTTTAGTGTTCCGACATGCTTGGTGGTTTGAAGCGTGGCCAATGGGTGCGGGCATGTTGCGCCCCGTCATGAGAGCTCACAATGATATTGAACATGGCCAAAGGTGTCAAAGTCGGGACTCTGATTTGGTCACATATGTTGTTGAGTAGGGCCTGAGTAGAGTCCCCTTTTTGGGACGCTGTTGGCAATCCACTATTTTTCCAGCGGTCCTCCAAAGCGTCACAGTTGGTGAACTTTCCAGGGTAACCTGCATCCATTGCAAAGGATCCACGTGCTCCACACAATGCCGGCGGAAGAGAAGGTGCTACTGAAAAAGCCGCTTGGCTTTTCACGATTTCTTGAACTGGGAGCCTAAAATCCCCGGAAACCACAGTTAGAGGGTAAGTGATTGTATGATGTCACTTGACTGACCCAGTTGAAGTTATTTTATTCTGTATACACCACTTAATTGCTTTGCAGCATGGTGCTCGAAGCATGCATGAGAGATCGTTGCTCTCGCGACTTCACGTTCCGCAGATCGCCGTGGTGTTGAGTTGAGATGTGTGGTTCGAAGAGCCTCGCCGTTATTTCCTGCATCTGAGGTCTAAGAAGCTGGCGGCCTATGTTTGTTTGCGTTTTGTGGGATTTGCGTGTTGTGGGACAAGCTTTGCAGCCAGCTTGGAACGCTGTTCCATACGTATGTTTGTAGAACATACAGTTGTATCCTGCTAATCCGCCTGCTAGTCCACATAGTCTCCTTGGTCAAGCGAGCGCTCTCTCATGTTACCCGCATTTGTTTTCTGAGAGCCTACCTCCGAAGTGTAAGAAGCAGTTGGATGTTGTTACTTTCAGGCGGTATGCCCAGTACTGGTTTCCCTGTTACTGTTGTTTTGAGCGCGATACGCCCCCCTTGTCGAAATCCGGTGATTGACTCTTTCCGGGGCTCGAAGTCCATTTGTGTGAGATGTCAAGCGTAATGCTTGAGTGTCACTTTGGACCCATCAGAACAATATCAGAACCCTTTCCTGTTTCCAAACTAACAATTTGACCCCCCCCCCCCGCACGTACCATAGATTATGGTAGTGGTTTTCGACGGATCCAACGACAGGAAGCTTTTGGAGGAGCAGCCGGAGCCAGAAGCACCCGAGGCCGGAGACATTGCACCCGTTGAACCCAAAGAGACCCGATCCTGCTGCCACGAAGGAGGCCCCTTTTTCCCCCGCCCCACACAGAAACCCTCCAAGTTGAAGGCCCAAACTTTGGATGAGGTCGCTTTGCTTATGCGGACGCTTGTTGCACGATCCGAATTGCGACTTTAAAGTGAAATGTGGTGGACCAGGAGGAATCTAGAGCTGGGCCACCTGGTTGCCATCTTTGCCACACGGTGTCCGGAAATTGGAAAGTAAAACAAGGTGACTTGCTACAGAACTTGTTTTGTACTCTCGCATGGAGCTGGGGAAGCAGCTGGCGGCATGTATAACCAAGAGGCCCCTCATGCATTCCAGCTCGGGGTGCAGCACCTCACAAAAACAAACACGGGATGTTGGCAGGTGAATGGTAGATGCTCGTGTTCTTTTGAAGCGCATTCTCTGGATAGCTCGTGAAAGAGCGCTTCAGGATCAGGCTCAACCTATGCTGGTTGGGCCAGTCAACGTAGTAGTAAGTCAGAAGAAGGCTCCTGCAGAAACGAGAGCCTTCCCAACAAAGCCGGGAAAGGAAGAGAGAGCTTGCCAGCTTTGATAGCTGACTGGCGCAATTTGGGGGGGGGGGGGGGGCCAGGGTCCCTATGGTTGAAGTAAGTTTTGTGGCCCTCATGTATCCAAGGCGAACCTTGAAGGTACAAGTCCGTGCTTTAGACTGAAGGTGATGCGATTGCCCACAAAGGGACTGGGGTAGACAGGTTTCGCGAGGGATAGGGGCTTGGGGTTCCTTGCAGGGCTGGTTCCCATCCCGTGATGTTGAGAACCGCAGAACACCGGGGCTTTTTGATGAACAAATGATTTGGCGGGGGCCGGCGGCGTTTAAATCCCGGGCCACAATGGGGTCCGCATGCTGGGATTTCTGTCGATCTCAGTATGGATTAAAAAAACGGACCCTAAAAGCATGAAGGTTTGGCTGGGGCTTGGTCAAAAGCAGAGGCATCAGTCTAATGCAACCAATGGGTTCCCACTTGTTCTAGTTTCCCACTACGGATTACGGATTACATCGGATTCGGGAATACCCCTATGTTGACCAATCCAGACTTTTGGGGTCACCTTTTGTGTGGTTCAACAGGGCCATGGTTGTGTTCCTTAAAGCTGGGTTTTAGACCCAGTGCCTGCTGCACCAAGGAAATTCATCCCCTTTTCATGGGAATGGCCATGTTATCTCAGGGGGCAACTTGCCAGTGCCCGGCGCGAGGCTCAGTCTAAATCCTCGTCTTTGTTGGTTGCTTGCCCAAACTTCCTGCAGAGTTTCCTGCTGGTTTCGATGACGAAGTTCCCCGCCGATCAGGAGGCGGCCCGTGCCCTGCTCTTTTGCGCGGAGATCTCGCGCCTACAGGGGGACACGGAGGACGAGTCGGGAGGTGACGGGAAGCCGCGGCGCCTGAAACGGCGGAGGGCTCCTTTGCGGGACTATGCATGTAAGAGGTTAATAGAGAACAACCCCATGGTCCACCTTGGAGGTGAGGATGGGCATTCCTCCCAGATCAACATGGAACCCAACAGCCAGCAGGGTTAGAGGAAACACTCCCTTTGGGGGAAAGGCCTCTTTTTGGGAGAGTTTTCCCCAGATTCCTCTCCCATTGACATAGAGCCTAACGACAGGGTCCTCGACGAGTAACTCTGGCAAGAAAACCTGCATCCAAATGTCTGTCAGCACAGAAACCGCTCAGGTTTGGCCTTCCAGAGCATATGCAGACAACGACATTCATCTAGAGACACACCCGAGCCCTTGCTCACGTGTCCACTGGTCTCGGGTGTCTTGCCGTTGGGTTTACCCAGGGCCCATGATGTTGACTGATGGTATTGCCGTCAGAGTGCGTGGGATTGATTCGCTTCAACCTACCGCTTGTAGGGGGGTGACTGAGATGATCGTAGCCATACTTGCCCATTCCTCACAAAGGGAGCCAAAGGGAGATATGCATACCCATTGTTCCCAGACTCTCCATTTGACACGAGTCATGGCGGGTTGCTGTTTTCTTTCCAAAGGCGGTGCAACCAACGAATCAAAGGGCACCAAAGCTCCTTCTTCCGGGATTCCCTTTTACATTTGATTCACGAATAAAACCTCTTTTTCTATAGAATAAAACCTTTGAGTTAGACTTAAACCCATAGACTTCTCAAGTGGCACCTCGGGGTTTAGCTCGACCTTGGGAGACCCCATCAAATGGGGGATCCAAACCATTCCCACCCCCTCAACAACGGAATTGGGGGCGGGGGATAAAGTTGTCCAAAGCCAGCCTTGTACTTCCAGGTCCTTTGGGCAACTGAGCTAAATGGACTTGGGGACCCGGGTGCCGCCGCCCTCATTGTAGTAGGGATGTCTCCACGGCGACTCGTTCGAGGAGGCGAGGCGCCTGGCGAGCCAAGCCCTGCAGCTCTTGCCGAAGCTCTCGCCGCGGGGGGCGCAGAACGGCACCGCCCCAGCGCTTCACCTCATGCTGGCGCTGCTAGGCCGGGACAGCCAGGGGCGGGACTCGCGTGAGTCGATGCCACGGGGAAGGCCTCAACTCATGGAATTCTCTGTGGAGAAATCACCCACTGGTGATGGTCTGGCCTATTTTTGCAGGGGTGCGTCAATTTGTTCAGGGGGTTTGTCAATGTCCCCAGGGGTCAGGCCATTTAGTAGAAGTTTTGCACATTCGCTTGGCCATTCCGGGAAACAAGTGGCCATTTCCCAATTCCCCGTTTCATAAGCAGGTTGTTTCAGGAGTCCAATTGGATCCCATGCAAGTCACTACATAGCAGCCAACCAGCGTTAAGACTGGCTCAGTGGCACACAACGGGAATCGACCTTTTGGGACGAATCCTAAGGAAGCAAGTTGGTGGAACACTGTCAGAAATTAAAAATGGATGGTGGACGCAACTCCCCGTAACATGATCCCACTGAATATTTAAGCTTCATATCAGTTTTTCTTCCTCAAAGTAAGCGGAGCTGAAAACGGTGAGTTTCCCCTTGGTCGGCGGGGGGGGGGGGTGATGTTGTTCGGAGGCGTGGAGGGTCACTTGGCCTCGCTGGACAAGTGCCCCAAGTGTTGCAGAGCCTACGACGAGGCGATCAAGTTCAAGCGGCCCGGGGCCAAGGGAAAAACTCGGCGAAAAGCGCGTGGGGGCCGGTGCATCTAGTTCTCTAGTCTTGGGCTGCCCTATCCCCAGCATCCCAATCCCAAGACCTTACAAGACCTGATGAGCCAAATAACCTCAAATAGTGGGGCCTCGAATTTAGACTCAAGCCCTCCGATCCCAAGCCTTTGTGCAGGGTGACTCGGCTCGAGCTTGGGTTTCCTTCAGGTTTCAACACGGTTCGTCCGCATGGCACGCAGTTTTTTGCAGGTGAGTGTGACTCCCCACACTGTTTTGTTGGTCGAGGCGAAGGTGCGGCCGGGAGGGCTCGTTCTACTAGCCTCAAGAATGCCTTTAAGTAGATCCCAGCTGCCACTATCGGTGGCAGTAGCCAGCCGGTTTCCTTTGTTCTCACCTGGTGTTTCCCCCCTGTGGAATCCTTTGGTGTGAGGCTCCACCTTTTCCTGGTCCCACAACCCAAAAATAGCCAGCAGCAGCGCGCCCCTTGCTTTGCCGTAATGCTAGGGGCTTTGAAGTGCTACAACTCGGTTCCAAGAACACATGGGTATGAATTGCATCAGGGGAGATAACATCACGATGGAAACGATGTCCAGCAAAGAAAGGGCCCCCAACTAAGAAAAATACTAGCCCACATGATGGACGATGCAAATTGTGAGTTATCCTTGGAGCGACCTCCTGCTGTCATGCTTGTCCGGATTGGCCTGGAAGAGCGAGGACGCATGCTTGGACTACAGCAGGCTAGTCAAAAGGCAGCATTGGCTTTTTTGGCCAGCGGTGCTAGCTTTCGGTCCACCCTTTTGACCACAGGATTCACTGGCACTCGTCACCGCTATGCAGCTATGCAGCAAAAAGGGGATAAGTGAAAAGAAGGCCAAGACATGTCCCTGCCGCATTGGGAACGTGGTGCCTCCTAGCCGTCCTGTTAGGTCTTCAGGTTTTTTCGGGTTTGGGGGTTTCCGTTTTAGCCACAGGTAAGAAAACCTTTAGCAGGGGATCTGAGGACAGCCAAGGGAAGGTATTGGCGTCGCACAAAACTACCAGCTCGTGATCATGATGTGCCCACAGCTCCTTTTGGCTTTCCCCCAGGCTTGGCCTGGAGCGGAAGCTGGCGGATGCTGAAAGCACGGGCCCCCTGGAGCGATCCACTTCGGAGACGCAGGCGGACACGCCTTCCGAGACGCACGAGGAAGGCCGGGAACGGGCGTGGGGTGGCTGGAGGAAGCGAAATGGATTTCATGAGGCCACTGTCGTAGCAGTGAGCCGGTGGCGGTTTGTCGGGTTGGTGATCATCAAGCTTGCGGTCCGTGGTGGATGCTTGCACGTACGTTGAGGCAATTGAGTTGCTATTCATCTTGCGCAGAGTGTGTCCATCTTTTCCGCATGGTGTCGTGTCGGTTCGGCAGGTTTACAACTCATTTGCATGCCATAGGGGTTCAGCATATAAACGCCGGGCCTAAGCCAAGCTACTGCGGCTTTCTGGCCAGCTCAGCCCAGCGCACTCATTGGCATCTAGGCGAAGACGAGGAGTTCTTCTCCGCGGAGGAGGAGCAGGAGGGGGCTTTGTACTGGGCCCAAGGCCCATTTCAGAGGCGATTTTCCAGACGGCTGCCTCCTTTTTTGATTTTGCTGCGGGGGTTCTAAGCCGTTGAACTGCTCGGATGCAGCTCGATGCCACCAGAAGTTTGCTCAAAAAGGGGCCTAGTCACTAGTCGGTTCTGCTTGTTTTCGCTCCTTCCATGTTGAAGGGACACCGCATGCATTGGTTTCTTGGCCTTTTTTGCGGAATGTGGCCTGTGCGAGTTCCCTCTGAGTTCAGCTTGCACTCTTTGCAGCAGCCTTGGTTGAAGCAGATTCATAGATGTTGAATCAGTTGACAGTCGGATGTTGAATCAGCTGGGATCCCCCCCCAAGCCTAAACTTAACACCGGCTGCCTGTCTCTCCAGTTTACCTTCTGAGTGGGCTGGGAGCTACTTATCCCAAACTTGATTCTTCCCTAACTCATGCTTCCCCAAAAAGGAATCCAGGGGATGGACCATTTGTTGTGGTCTTTGTTTGACCTCGTTTTTTTGACCACCCCAGGGTTATGTCACAGGAGGGCGAAGCGCCGCCCCCGCCTGCGAAGGCGGGGCTTCAATTCTAGAAAACGGCTTGGATGCGCTTTTGTTGCTCTTCCCACTGCTTTTTTCCTACACTGTGGTTCCACAAAAGCCACATTCACTCGCTTGGAAGTCGGTCAGGTTGATCCTAGGTTTGTCTCCGGGTCTCTTTGCCCAGATTGATCCCAGGCTTGGATTTGCTCTGGGCCAGTTGGTTCACAAGCAATTCCAACGAGGTAAAACCACCAGTTAGATGCAGGCCCATTTCTTCGTGACTGATTGCATGGAACAGGGTGCATCGCACAGGTAAACTATTGGAAAGCGGTGACCCATTGGTTTCCCGTGAGGGGGCACATTTCTGCCCAGCAGTTCCTCAGAGGGTTACCCCTGAGCAGGGCCCGGTTGAGTGTGAGCCACTGTGCGACCAGCTTTCAGGCCGCAATGGGGAGGGCAGCAAAGATCAGCAAAGAAGAAGCAACAAGTAAGCGTCGGGTGGTGAAATGACGGAGCCGCTGTTTTTTTGCACACAGGTTGCTGCAAACCGGAGCTCCCGCAGGTCATGGAATTTGAGTGGGAACTGGATGCAGGTTTCACAATCCACAGGCAAGGTGGATACCTGTAGCCTTGCTGTGTTTGCTTGGTGTTTCGCTGGCTGCGTGGATGGCCACAATCGCCAGGAATCCAAGTAAGAGAGTCCTTCAATATCCAGGTGTCAAACATGGCATGATACGATATGCATACGTGCAAGCATTGCTACATGCAACAGATAGTACATATGTCTATTAAACATGTATACAGATGTCTCTCTCTCTATATGTTTAGATTTACATACATATAAATAATATCTAATGTAATGTTATGTCACTATCTTGAACCGGGGTGGACCGTGAGCTTCGGCTCGGAGGTAGTATTTGCATTGGTCATGACCCTCAAGGGCGCTGTGGCGCGCGGCTGACACTTATTCATCCCCGAAGCCTTAGGATGCCTTAGGTGTTTATCCTTCGCTTATCATATTATCCCAGATTTGTACTTTATTGTAAATTTCATTCTGCCTGAAATATTCTCAGCTTTGCATGTAGCGGGTCTTAAAATCTGGTCATATGTTTTGGCCTTTTTGCTTGGGAGAACCCCCCCCTTGCCCAGTCCTTGCCCCACCCCGGAGGTCCACCAGCTCTGCAGGCCTTTTGGAAGTGGAGCTTCCGAAGACCGCCGAGCATCGAGACGGACTGCTCAGAGGTCTCCCCACCTTCGGCCCGGGAGCCCGATGGGTCCATTGGCCTCTCGTCGCCTGCGAACGGACCACACGGCGCCAGCTTGCTGGTGTAGGGAATGACCCAGGTTTTGGCCACGCCTCAGCCAGTCCGCTCTTGGCTGGCTTTGAGGATACACCGTGCTGCAATTGGTTTATTAGACTGAGTGAGTCGGGCGCCGAAATGCGTGAGCTGGGTCATGTTTGCGTGTTTCCACATGACGGGGGTTTGATCACTTCCTAGGTTTTGGCCGGAGTTGGATCGGCTTCTGGGGGGGTTTGACCGAAAACGGGGAAGATTGTCAAGGCTTGTGATTGGTTTTGAGGCGGGACAAGATCCCGTTCTTCAAAGGGATCTGAGCTTCTCGCTTCCAGGCTCGTGGTTTTTCTTGCTCATTCGCTGCTGAGAACCAGCAAGCCACTTAGCAGGTGGCTGACCTTCCCTGCTTTGTAGAAGTTTGCATTTCTTTCTCCACCTGGAGCCCGAGCCAGGAGGAGGTGTTCTGTAGACGACCGGTGGGTCAGTCCAGCGCCAGGTTTTGATTGCGATTCAGTTTGCTTTTTCTTCACGTTATGTGTTATAGGTGTCCTTTTTAGGTGTGTTGATTTTCAAGATTAGTGGACATACATCGTCCGCTTCACGTCCGTTTTTGGCTGAACATAGATGATTTCCGCGGGGGTGGCCACTTTGGGTTTTGCTTTGAACAGGTGTTCCACTAGTTTTGGTATGTCTTTTTTTGCCGACGTCGATCTCTCTTTCTCTCTCTCTCTCTTTCTCTCTCTTTCCCTCTCTCTCTCTCTATCTGTTTTTCTCCCTCTCTCTTTCTCCCTCCCTCTCTGCTTCTTGCCTTGGCCTTTGAAACACGAAGTCGTACTTCTCTTCCGTTTGCAAAGCGAAAGCGGAAGCCTCCGGCCCAGCGCAGGTGAACTCGCCCTCCTTGTCCTTCAGCTGGGCCTCTGAGGTGGCCGTCAAGGCATGGAGGGGATGGGGAAATGAGGGGAAACCAATCTGGGGGTGCCCTCTTTTTCCAGGGACCCGTTTTTGGGGTTACAAAGGGAAACCACAAGGAAAACGGAAAAAAGAAAAAAGAAAGACAAAAAACACCGTTTCGGGTGAATCCCACCCAAAATTGTTCTTATCAGTTCCCTTGTTCTTTTGGCGCCGCCGCTCAGCACTGTACGAACATGGCTTCGGTTTTCCTTTTGTGGTATAGGCCTCAAACAGGCATGGCCTCTCCACGCAACAATCAGGGAAACCCCTGGGTGGTTTGGAGAAGTGGTTCGGGATTTGAACCAGCTTTTGTAGAGGGTACGGTGCCCGGGAAAACCTGCCAAAAAACATTCCTCCAAGCCACCAATTCGAGAGCTGAAACCTCCACAAAGGCGACCGAACCCAAAACGCAGAGCGAGGCGCTCAAAGACTTGGCCAAGAAGTCGGCGGTGGCAGGAGGCGACTGCGAAAGCTTTCAAAGCCGCCGTGGCACGAAGAAGCGGGGGCTGGAGGGCAGACTTACAGGGACCTTATGCTTCATCTTGTTGGGCGTCGTACTGAAGATTTAAGCATATGGGTGGCTTAGCTTTAACATCACCTTTTGGAAGTGTGACCATTGTTAGGACAATTCCTCGTTGTGGTTGGTGATGTGACTAGGTGCGGCATAATTGTGACTGACATTGGGCAACACCCGCAAAAGTGGTTTATGGACAACAAGAAGTTATCATGTGCACTTGGGTTCGCGGTCCCTTTGGTTTGCCTTAAGGGGAGAACCCGAAAAAGGGTACCCTCTAAAAAGACACTTGTAGCGTCCCTTCCCCTTCCTGCTTTTTGGCGCGGAGAGATCTCCATATCGCGAAGCAGACATGAGTGGCCCTTGTTTCTAATGCGAGTGGAGCTGGGAAGCTCCTTGCAGCCTAACTCCTTGCGTTGTTTCGTAAGAACCGCCACAAGCAATTGCGCAACGACTGCCCGGTGAAGGCTTGTTTTCCCAATGTGGGCCCTTCATGGAGATACTCAAAAAAGCCCCCTTGGGCAGTGTCTTAGACCTGTGATTTGATGCTGCCCATGGCTTCGTCAATCAACTTCCCAGATTAGTTCCTTAGTTTCTTGGAGAAACGGTTTGCCAATTTGGCAAATTTCTAACCGTTTTAAAGGCCTTTGGGATCCATCCCAAAATGCCAGAAGCCTTGGGACAGGCGCTGAAGTGGAGAGGTGGACAGCATGTATCTTTCGTAGACTCTTCCCACAAATAAGTTGATGATTGATATTTCGATAGAGCGGTTCGCAAGGAATTCATCCTGTCTACTTCGACTCTGTTTCTCAGCCAAGACAGCTGTGGGAACGCAGCCAATCCTCAGCATGCTGATCAGGCGGTCAAGAAAGTTAAGTTCCCGCCCTGTCCGGACAGAGGATCCTCCTTGCCTTATTCCACATCCAAATGTCCATTGTCAACTTCACTTCTGGCGGGGAAGTTCAAAATCCTCAATCCTTACGCCAGATGGGCGTGGTGTCGCTTGTCCTACAAGGAAGCTCAGAAAGTCGGAGAGTCCGGGATGTATTTGACGCAGGTCCCAGAGACCCATCTGGCCATGGGTCACAAGCCCGCACCCCCAGCGAACATGAAAGTCCCCACTAAAATAGGTTCTAAAATGGGTGGTGCATTCACCTACCAACCAAAATGGGATCCCAAAACGGTTTTGACCACCACGGCCATCGGATGTTTCAGCTTCGGCCAGGTCAGCTGAGCCACCAGGCGGGTCAGCTGAGCCACCAGGCCAGCGAGCAGCTGGGGCACCTGGCCAACTCTGCAGGCGACCGGGCCGAATCGCGCGCAGCGCGTGGCCGCTGTGGGGAAATATGTCTTACCCTCCTTCAAGCAATTATGGGGTTTGGACAGGTTTTTTTTTTCCCAAAGGGAGAATGGTCTTCCAAACAACTTTCATTAGCTTCCATGATTCTTGGGGGAGGGGAGGTACACGGCTTCATGTGATACTGTCCTCCCTTTGGTGTTTCTTACCTTGTCAGGAAGAAAGAGGGTTGCAGCCGAACCTTCCCAACCCGGTTGGTTAGCAAAACACAGTTTGGTTGGCATCCCACGAAAGCTGAGCAGAAGTAGGTAACAAACTGAAATCCTGACCAGCAGTTAGATTTTGATTTGGCTCCTTCTAGGGTGCCATGGTTGCAGGGCAATTAGATGGGTCGAGAGGCTGTGAACATTCATTGCCATAGGCGATTTCAGTGGGAATGCGTGTTTTGTTCTGGCAGGTTTTGGTGCCAGAGATTGTGTGTCCCAGACAGGCCCTGTGACGACCCCTTGCACTTGTCTGATTCGGGGCTCAGTCACTGAGCTCATCCTGCATGAGCACATCGGGAGGTGTGACCATATTTCTGCAATTATCATCAAGGAATATGTGCTCTAAGTGTAATGTATTGATTTTGTGGATGACAGCGCTCTTTCTAGGAGCAAGCATGTCAGAATTAGTTTTGGCAAGGCAACATGTGTTTTGAATTGACAGAGCACATTCCTGAGCCCTGCCACGATCACCTAGGAGGTGTCCAGTGACATCCCCGCCAGCAACTAAAAAAGGAGACGTCCACCCTGAAACTACAAGGGCCTAGATCATCAGAATGGGTTTGCGGAGTAACACCAAAGTAAGTCTTGAGCATAGGAGCAACATGTTGGCATTGTCTACTCCTTACGCCTGATATTCCACAATTTAAGTTGCAAACCGGGCTTAAACAGTGCCATGTGGAAAGGGAGCCTCACAGGGCACCCATTGACCAAACAATGGTTCGTCAACGCAAATTAAACCTTTGCGGGGGGGGGGGGGGGGTCTGGTTTTCCACAAGCTGAGCCCGGCTCCCCTTGCCACACAGAATGGTCTCCAGGGAATGTCGGACCCTGAAGTAACCACTACACTAGAAGATGGTGGCTTGCGCGTTTCCCAATTAAAGGACCCACTTCCTCATCATTCTCCCTTTAATTTGAGGAAATCTGTATGAAGGGGGCTTTGCCCAATGATTTCCAGCGGGTGGAGTCCGATTGTTTTTTTTTGGCATTGTAAGGTTCACTAAATATGCCCCGCATTGTTCAAGGCACTCTTTTGCCCTTTCTGTATGGTTTAATCCCCACTAGCATGATCAACGCCTGCGCGTAACAAGGTTCCCTTAATTGAAAAGTATCAGCTCCAGAAAGGGTTCCCTTTTGACAACTGGATGAAACAGATTTCTGAAGATCTGATTTCTGGTGTGTCCGCAGGCAAGGCCCTCAGCCGCAAAGGCTCCAGCTGCGGCAGCAGCCCGCGGGCCCAGTTGCAGGTGCTGACAAGAAGGCCAAGCATGCCTAAAAGGACGAGGGGAATCACCCCCTTGCAAATGGAAACTCCAAGGCGGTTGGATTGTCTTGGGGAAGCAAAGTGGTACCGGGACATAAATCCCCGCCTGAATGATGTCCACTACAGGGTCCCCAGATAGAAAAACAATTGTAGCCACACAACAGAATCCAACAGAGGAACCCAGAAAAGAAACCCAACAAAGGTAATGACAAAACGATTGGCAAATTAGCCCAAGGAACCAAGAACGGTGCGAGTGCGCCGTCACGCGAACTGGTCCTTCGCTGCAAAACCTTCCTCACAGCACTGACTGCATGTCCTGCCGGCCACGGACGCATGACTCCTGAAGGCCTTTCACCGCGAGGGTCGGAGCAGGATCCGCACATGGGGAACATGGTCTTCTCGTCATTGCGGACTCTGCCTCGTTACACGCGTGTAGTAGAGCAGCTCAGACAGGAAATCCGAGCAAAACTGCGCTTTGCTGAGCTCCAGGTAGATGCGTGCAGTGCAGCCGGAGTGAGATGAGCGCAGCAGGAAGGGTGTCTTGGAGCAGCTGCAGAGGTTTCGGGACACCGCATTGGCCCCTGCATTGGCGCAAGTGTTCTCACGCGCATCGACGGCATGAGGAGGTGACACAAGAAGCGTGCGACTTGGAAGTTCTGGAAGGTTACGCTGGTTTAAAGGTGCTTCCCTTGTTGCAAGGGTTCCTTGCACTGAAGGCACGTCAAAGCCGTTCGACTTAGGAGACACGTTTTGCAGTCGGCGCTAAAAACGGGAGGCTCCAGCTAAAAGCCTCATGAACAAATCATGTTTCTGCGCAGATAGACCAGATTGTGCAGGGATATTTGTCCATTACACTTGACAGGTTCAACCCCAACCATGCGCAACATGTTTGAACAGATCCCTTTGTGGCCCCTGATTCACTGTTAAATTGGAAGGATTCTGACCCCTTTGAAGCAGGTTACATAAATTCCTCGCAGGCGCCCTGATGGCACTCCCGGAAGCACAGCAGACCTGTCCTGCCAAGATTGAACGGCAAGGTGTTCTGGCAAGTGCATGAAACACGGGGTTGCACGTTGGAAAGTCGTGGCAAACCAATGTGCTTCATTTGCTTTCCCGTCTATCATCGCATCCTATCGCTGTTTCAACCGGGCTGGCGCCCGGTGCGGACGAGTGTTCCAAGGCAAGTTGCACCTGGAGGCGCTTCTTCGGCAGGCTGGGTTTGCCCGGGGATGTGGCTGTATGCCCCATTGGGGGTGGGTTGGTTTTCGCCCTGACCCTGGGATGGAAGCCACCAGGCACAGCCTCTACGCGTGACGAAAAGGGAGCAAACAGTAGACCAGACATTCGGAAGTAGGGTGCTAGCTCCAGGCAGGCGACCAGAAGCCAAGCTGTCGCATTCCCTCCAGGATGATCAAAGGCCTGGCTTTTTGAACTATCCGCTTATGTTGTGTGCCTTGTCTTTTGATTTGAACTTGTTGTTCGGAGGTGTCAGCGCCTGCATGGGCGGAATTTGCTGGGGCACTGGGCGGGGGGATGCTTTGCCTTCGGCTGGGCCATCAAACATCATGCCCCAGACCTATGCCACCGGCTCCCAACTCGACATCCATCTCGCCGGTTGCCCAACCTGCGGGAAATGCGAGGCGCCGGTTTCGGATGTCCGCCATGTTCCGCCTTGGTTTTCTCAACCTGTGGCCTGGGTGCCTTCCCTTTGCGCCTTTTGGGGGGGGTGCAGAATTGTGCCGATGCTCTCTTTTTTTTTCCCCCGCTGGGTCAAAGTCCAGACAGCTGAGCACAAGGGGTAAGGCTTATGCCCAAGGCATTGCAAGTGTATAGGTGAACAAAGGCAGCATGTATACAACTTCACCGCACTTTTTCTGGGCTTTGCTGTTGAATGCGGTGTGCTCATTGAGACTTAGGCATGTTTGCACTTGGCCGACTTGTTTGCCCCTGCATCATGTTCGCTGCCCAGCAATCCCAGCAAGGGATCGATCAAGACAAACCAGCCGTACCCCGGTCTGTTGTTGCCGATTTCCCTTTGCCCATGATTTGAACGGTTCCTGGAGGTTGTAAATTTACGGCAACCAGCCATTTGCAAGAAGCCACTTCCCATTTCGGAAACGACATGCAATCCGAGTTCCTGAACGTTAAGTTTTGTGAGAAGACCATTTTAGTGGTAAACAAGCAGTTGGGCCATTTTTTCGCCCATCAAATCCGGAAGTGGTTGCGAAATCATATGATGTGGGGCTGAGGACTTAAGAGGCTGTGAATCACGGCTGGCCTCACGCGCCTGACAGGCGGATCAAGGTGACTGCTCCGCCGGGAGCTCGTCCCGACGGGAATGGGATCTTTAGGCGAACCTGGGTGCTTCTTGTTCCCATTAGAGTAGCTGACCAGGTATTGTTATCTCTAGGTTCTACACGTTGGTTTGCCCTGGTTGCCAGCTACAGTGGTAGCTGGAAGCCGGGGGACCAGAAAGTGTTTTTGAAGCGCCTCCCCCAGCCTCAAGTCGCAGCCATCCCCAGCGTTGCTCCGAACGGGGGGCAAACCACAAAAGTAGCACCTGTCGTCTTCATTTTGTACCCATATGTTCTTGCCTGGGCACGCTTGGGTCCAAATAGAGGGCGCAATCCCCAGCGCCAACTGCGAGTTGCTCAGGTTGTTTGCATGCCCACTCCCGGCGCTGGCGTGTCAGAGGCGTGGGATGCCGTTTGTGGCTTCGATCCAACCTACTAAACTGATCGACTCCCAACCCCAGGGATCTTTTCATATTGGTTTGCGAGGCATGCGTCATGAATTTGGCCACTGTTTCTCTGAGTTCCGCAGCCACAGGGGCTTTGGGTGCACGAGGTGCGGTGCAGGGTGGGTCAACATGGGCGCAGTCTTCTGCAAAGAGTTCGAATGGAAGCTTCGGGTGATTTTGTGAGGTCCCTATGCGCTGAACAGCTCTTTTCCAGCATTTTGGTTCCCGCTTTCAAAAGCCCGCTGCGCTGACTTGTTCAAAAGCGGGACTCCCGGGTGCTAAATGACCCATACTGACATTTCTTTCACCCCAGTTCACCCCCCTCCGCCACACCAGAACCACAAAGGATGACGTGTTTGATTCTAGCCTCCCCTAACACTGATTTCCCTGGCAAATGGGGAAGGAACAGCCACAAGCCAGGGCCGTCCGTGTGCCCGGCCCAGTTCGCTAGGCCAAAGACTTCCGCAAATGGCCTGAAAGGAAAAGCCATGATACGCCTTTGTCATGGGGTGACATACATCCAGCCGACTTGAAATCCTAAGCCGAAACCATGGAGGCTGGAGCAGTAGCTTGGTGTAGTAAGCGCACTTTGGCAGGGCTGTGGCATGAAGAAAGGCCCTCTGCTTGACGGGGATCTCGCCGTTTGCCGGAACGAAGACTGAGCCGGCCTGGGCCTTTTTGTTGTGGTGGGCCTAAGCCAGCCGCGATCCGAGAGACAGCTGCGATCAGGCGGAAGTGGTGGCATACCTTCGGTGGGCCGCGGGCCTCGGAGTGTGGGAGATGATCAAGATTCCATTTGCCCCCAAATGACCATCCACGGGCAACCTTTTGGGATTTGGTGGTTGAAAAATCAATTATGTTTATGATATTTATGGGTGATCCAACCAATGGTCATCCTATGTAAAGTCATCCTATGTAAAGGGCCTTTTGCATGACCTTGACAATTGCACCCCCTGCAGATTGACATGGAGCCCCAAAGGCTATCTTAGAGAAGGCTCCTTTGGGGCAACCCTTTGGAGTTCATGTTAATTTGCGGAGGATTCGGGATTGCGGATCAACTTGACTTGGTTTAGACTGCCTCGAGTCTTCCCTCAGGCCGTTTGAGACGTCAGGCTTGCTTGGGTTGATGGCTAGGGTGAGAGGAATATGTTATAGAATCAGCAGTCATCGTATTACCCTCACGCATGGTCAAACACTCCCATGTTTCAAGCACATACCCAGTTTGACTTGTTGATTTCCCAGAGTTGCTTTGCGTGAAGCCATCATCCACCTGCCGCTTCAATTGACTGTGCCCTTGTCAAAGCAGTATTGAATATGATTGGTTTGTTGAGGAGTGCTGTTTGGCCGCGGGAAAGATGTTGTTCAGCGGCTGGCCTTGTTGGTCCTTTTTGAAGGGAAACCACCGCGAGAGCTGAATGGGCCCATTGCCGATTGGTCAGCAATCTGTTGTAGGGGTTTCTCAATTGGCTGAATGTGCCCCTTGTATCCTCCATTTGGAAGGTTTGAGGATGCCACTTCACCAAGTGAGAGGGAAACTCGGAGTTGCATTGCAGGACTTGGGCTTGGTCTGTGCTTTGGAGGCCTAAGGGCAAGGGGCACACGCGCAGATTGTGCAACACTCAGCTTTTTTGTGGTGACCAGCGCATCCACATTGCAAATACTTGCGCAAAACCACACACACACACACACGCGCACACACACACACACAGAAGGCGCTACACCTCTCCGGTAGCTGTGCCCAGACGAGAGCGTAGCGTAGCGCAGTGATGGACTTCAAAGATGCAGATGATGACCTGGCCAAGATGGTAGATCAGAGCAAGGCAGGGATGTTCTCCTAGTGGGCTGAAGGGTCTTGCACGAACCCATATTATACAATATGCATATCCCCTCCCCTCTCAATCCAGCCCATTCATTTGCCCTCGCACATCCGTCCCATGCATCTTCTCTTGTTTGGTAGAGGCATCAAAATATATGGAGGGGTGGCGGAAGGGCAGGGGGTGGAGTACTTCCCATGTACTTTTGTGTCATCGCCGTTGGGGGGATTTTGCCCGGACACCTACCTCCCGCAGTTGGGACCTTGGAACATTCGTTGGGTACCTCTGCTTTGACCTTTGCCTTGGTTTCAGGTGGTGGCGCTGTACGACTTTGACCCCACTAAGATTGATTGGCCCTTCAACCGCCAGAAGCCCCTCGCGCTGAGCACCGGCCAGGCGTGACATGCTGTGAAATGAGTGACTTGCGAGTCCCGATTTCGGCCTCCAGTTGGTTGAGGGACGTTGTTAAGGCAGGGTGAACCGTGCAATCCCGGAGTTTTAGTCCAAGTTGTTTCATGTTTCCAAGAATTCCTCCCAGGCCGGAATGCTATGTTTCCCTGCAACTTGTTGGTTGAGGCTTCTGGGGATGGCGTGATCACTAGGTGCGCGTAGGGCGAGTTAAGTACCCCCTTCGGATCCCTTCAGATACACTTGAGCCACCAGATTTAGAGCGTCCCCTGGAAGAGTTCAGGGTCCATTTCCGTGATGCCAAGTTGCCAAGGCAACCCCCAGAATTCATGACACTTGCCCTTTTTCGTAGAAAGGGACTTTTTCAACAATCGTGGTCTTCGTTCCGCGGTCAGATGCTGATGTTCAATGTCGGGTGAGGTGGTGAAGATCGTCTACGATGACGGCTCTGAGTGGGCGCTTGGCCATTTGTCAGGTGCGCAAGATGAGGTTTGGGCAGTTGAGCCACAATCAAAGCCCGACAAATTGAAGGGGTTAGTAGGGGACAGCCAGCCACAAATGGGTGCCCTGGTTGTTCGTCGCACGATTTCGCGTAGATCACTGCAATACCAAATTGACTTACTTGTTGCAGACGCTCATGCATGCTCACGCGCTTGATCTTCATAGGCTCCCGCCCATGTTGCCATGGAGGCCACCTCAGATAGCGTGGAGAAACCGTGTCTCCTCTCGCAAGTCTTTTTGCGGGGCCTTGCCCTTGAAACAACCTCGGTACAAATGTTTCTTGGGATCTAGGAAGCTTGTCCGAAAAACTTGAGGATGACATTTTCTCAGACATGTGTTCCTCAATGTGTACCGTAGCCACCTGGCCAGTCGCACGTTTCTTTTTAGGCCACTACTTTTATGCATATGTTTGTTCTGTTTCGAATATGTGTGGCAGTAAGCTGTCTCAAGTCTCTTCTGGCTTTGTGCTTGAAATCATTTTGATGCAACAATCTCCAGCTCAACCATGATCCAAAAGTCTGAAAAGTCTTTGCGGGGACCGGGGACAGGACCAGCAGCCCGGACCTCCAGTGGTGCCTTTTCTTGACCGTATTTGGTGCCATTTATGTAGACTCTAACTATCTGCAACTTTTGGGGAGAGAATTCGTGGGAACTGCCGCAAGGCGGGCCGGCGAGTTAGCTGGGCAGCATGGACAGAGCAAAAAAAACAACTTTTTGCACAGGGGCCCAGGAGGCAATAGCAGCCAAGCTTCTGTTTTCTCCCAGCTGAAAGCTATGGGAGTTCTTTGCCCATATGGGCTGCGGAGTGGTTCGGGCCAGCTCCCGGCTAGGGTTCTGAAGGGTTTTGGGGTGAGGGGAGGAGGGGAAGACCTGTGTTCATCAAGCACTCAGAAAGGGTGACCTCTTTTCCCCACCACTGGAAGTCCAGGGGGTCTGGCCATCTTGAATCACATCTTTACGCCTGCCAGGCGTCCCGGCGACCTTGGGCTACTTCCCAAAGAATTACACCGTCTCGGTGGGAGAGTACCAGGCGACGTGTTTGACCGACCGAACTTTTGGTAATTGGGATCAGTGTCCAGATTGGCGCCAACGTGGCTCGGTTTTCACTGAAATACCACTGTTTTGATGCTGGACCTGCTTAACATGACCCCCCCCTCAACACTGCCAACAGCCATTTGGACCATTTTTAGTGTATAAGGGGAGATCTGGGTTGCGGTCTGGAATGGTTGAGTATTGCCAATTAGCTTGCGCATTTGCCCCCAGTTTGTGTGTGTGTGTGTGCGCGTATTTGTCTTGTTTTGGGGGGTGGGGTGGTGAACAAAAACTTTCGATAGCAGAGGACCCCAAAGCAGCCTGAATTGGACAACACCTTTGGTGACAACGCTCCATGCTCCTTTGCCCCCAATTATGGACTCCTTGGCCGGCTTCCTGCAAGGAAAGGCCTTCGTGCATTGTATCCATTGGTGTTTTAATGTTGGTCCCCGGTCAAAACCCCATCCTAATAGGGGGCGGTTCCCCTCCAAAAGTGATGAACTTACGCTTAAGGGGACACCCCCTCCCTGTGAGTCAGCTGCGGTTTCTGAATCCATGGGCCAATTAGTTGGGGATCTGAACCCCATGGCTTTTGTTGACACGTAGCCAAACCACCAAAGAAGGGCGAGCTGAATACGTTCGGAGAATTCATTCCCTATCTTGCAGATGGTTGATCCAGAAGTTCGCATTGTAGGCACCTAGTTGGCGACCCGTAGTTCAGCATTTTTGAGACTGATCAACTTAGGAGTGTTGGCCTCTTCAACTGGTGAAACGGTCGGGATGCGGGCAAACCCCAAAGCCACTAAAGCAGAGGGAACTGATCAGCGGCTTTGCGATGCTTGGCAAAGCCTCTTGGCATGTCAGCAACTCGACCATGTCCATGTCACTGCCAGGAGCTGCTGCGGGACTTTGAGAACGAGGGGAATGCGATGATTCCTGAGAAAATCATCGCGCTCGGAAACGCATGATGCTTTCAGCGACCGCCCTTGAAGCACAAGTGCTCCGATGGAAGGGGGCAATCCACCCTCAGAATGTCCCACTTGACAATATTCCAAGGTCACTTCCTAATTCCCGCCTCTTACGTGGCCCATCGAGCCCTCAGGATGCTCGAATCTGGGCTGCCGCATGCTTTGGTTGCCCAGTTGTTCAGCGCGATGCACTTCTTCCCTTTTTGTTTGGTGGATTCTCCACTAAAAAAAGGTTAGCCCTAAAAAAGGCTTCCCTTTGTCTACCCTTGCGGTCACCAGTCGTCAACTGCGGTCAGCCCCCCGCAGATGAAGACGAGACCCAAAATCCTCCGGTGGACGCCAATTTGGTGGTTTTGATGCAGGGGAGGGAGTAGGTTCTCAGTTTGTTTAAATTGGGTGTCAGAGAGTTGTGTTGTGTGAAGCCAATTTGGTAATCACCAGGCCGAGAGAAAACTAAGGTTTTTGTGTTGTTCGTCGAAGGGCTGTATAGACAGACCTTACCCTGGCCCATCAAATGCAGCATGCCCTGAGCCAGCGGCCTTATCAAGTGTGGCCTTGGTGCTTCTTGCCGGGAAACTGCCCTGAGAGACAAAGCCGATTTTGCAAGGAGTGGGCCCCTCTCGGAAACTCTCGGAATTGCTGAACGTCCTCCTTCAATCCTGCATTTGGAGGGCATTTTGAGCATAACACTGAGTTGTGCTTGGTCTGTGCTTTTGAGGCCCAAGGGCGAGGGGCACACGCACAGATTGTGCAACACTCAGCTTTTTTTTGGTGACTAGCGCAGCGAATCCTTTCGCAGAAGCACACACACACACAGCAAGCACTACACCGCCTTGGTTCCGGTAGCTGTGCCCAGATGAGAGCGTAGCCCAGACTAGCAGTGATGGACTTCAAAGATGCAGATGATGACCCGGCCAAGATTGCAGATCAGAGCAAGGCAGGGAGCTTCCTGATGTTTCCTGTTGGGTTTCAAATGTCTTGCGCGAGGCCATGTTATATTATACAATAGTCCCTCCCCTCTCCATTGAATCCC